ATGTGTGTCTGTATCATGTATGTTGCTTGTGTCTGTGTTGCAGATGTATGGAGATGTGTATCTTGTGTGTCTCTGTGTATATATATGTATATCCTTTTGTGTGTTTTTAAGGATAAAGTCAATGCTGATAGCAAGATCCAGAGACAGAAAGCGAAACAAAATAAGATGACTTAAGGAGTCTGCCAGTGAAAGCAACTCAGTGTCTCCCTGCACAGGCTCCCGGGGTATACACTGGAGCAGTGAGGCAAGCCACACAAAGGAAAATTACAAAGGCAGCTGCATTCCAGAATCCCGGCAATTGATATGCAGGTGAGGTTGTTGGTTCTCATGCAGAACATGCTAATGACACATCATGAAGGAGCCAGCTGCTGAGCAGCCCCAACAGGAGGCTTTACGCAGGCAAGGCTCCCGGGGAGCGGCAACCCCCTCGGAGTTGGAGCCCAGCGCCATGCTGTTCTCATTCCACTGGACAGGTCTGCAACAGAACTGCAAAGCAAAACAAAACTCATCTCAAGAGGAATAACCTGGAGGAAAGGTTACGTTAAATGTGCTCAGTAGCACAAACACCCTACAATAGGACAGAAACCACGGTTAGGCAAAAAAAATTATAGATAGATAGATAGGTCTATCTCTATATGTCAAATGCTCTTGAAATCCCATCGACATTGCTATTATTCAAATCTACATTTTTGATCTTGGTATGGAGACAGACAGCCCCATGTCTAAATGTGGCTTCCCTATCTGAGAGGTTGCGGTTTTAGTTCCGGACTCCATCTGTTGGTAACGAGTCCAATGACGTCACTGGATGCATTTCTCTGGGTCTCAGTTTTCTGCTCCCTGCCTCCACAACATTTTCACAGTCGGTTCCTTATCACACAGGCCCCCAGCTCCGCCAGCCCTGCTGTCTCCCCACCTCCAGGTCACCCCTAGCATAGGACTTGTCACCCTCTCTAATGACTACTGTTCACCAGTCTCTACTCTCATCACTGGGCTGTAAGCCTCTCTATGAAGGGCAGGGAGCTGGGCTCTCTTCTTCAGGGTCTTGCAGGCAAATATTTATTTACATGCACCGTGTCACGCCTTCTCCTGAACGCCCATTAGACATATAAATGCATTTGTTGTTTTTGGTCACAGTGAAGAATGGTAAGGAGGGAAGCTGCATGTCTCTTTTTGTTTGTTTTTTGGTTTTTTTTGGTGAGGAAGATTAGCCCTGAGCTAACATCTGTTGCCAATCCTCCTGTTTTCACTGAGGAAGATCGGCCCTTGGCTAACAGCCGTGCCCATCCTCCTCTACTTTATATGGGACGGTGCCACAGCATGGCTTGACAAGTGGTGTGTCAGTGTGGGCCCAGCATCCAAACCTGTGCACCCCGGGCTGCTGGGGAGCCGAAGCGGAGCACGTGAACGTAACGACTATGCCACCGGGCCGGCCCCGGCATGTCTTTTTTTGAGATGCGGGCAGTTAGGTTCTCAGAGAAATAACCCTGCCTCTGAACATTCCCAACATAACTAAACATTTCTGAACTCCTCTGTGATCACTCATTCACTGCTGCTTTGTAAATGGGGTTAGCCATCATCTTCACCGAGGGAGAGTGGAAAACTGCCGACTCTGTTGCATGACTTAAGTAACACACACTACAGGGTCCTCTTTTCCTAACGACTTAAGGGGTCAACTGTTAGAAAGGGACGCACAGCCAGTTCTGACTTGTGTCCACGTTTGTTGCTCAAGGCTGTTACTCCTAACGCACTCTGGTGCCTGAGGCCGTTGTGAAGTCCAGGCCCACATGTGATTTGGGGTTTCATTAGGCACACAGTTCTCATCTCGGCATCACGCACTAGCTCTGTGACGCAGGGCACATGACTGTGCCTCATGCAGCTGCATGTCCTCACCTGTCTGGGCAGACCACAGGCCACACCACGTGGGGTCACTGTGCGAGGCAGAGGCAGATGAAGCCCTTGGTGTGGTATGTCTCTGCGGGGTTTCCGACCAGCCGGGCGCTGTGCTGAGCACCT